GCAGACATATTCACTCATGGAAACCGCAGTGTGCAGAGAGGAGTCCATGCTGGAATAGGTTCTTCTGACAGGAACTGTGACCCATGGAGGACCCACTCTGGAGCAGGTTTATCCTGAAGAACTCCAGCCTGTGGAAGGGCCCCATGCTGGAGCTGGGGAAAAGTGTGAGGAAAAAAGAGTGGCCAAGAGGAGCTGTTATGGACTGACTGCAATCCCCACTCCCCACTGCTCAGCAGGAGGTAGAGGAGTCAGGAGTGAAGGAGAGAAGTTGAGCCTGGGAAGTAGGGTGGGGAAGAAGGTGTTGGTTTAATATTCTGTTTATTTCTTACTACCCAAATCTATTTTAAGTGGCAGTAACTTAAATTAATATTCCCCAAGTCGAATCCTCCCATGATGGTGAATGGTAAGCAATCTCCATTTCTTTGTCTCAACCCACGAGCTTTTTCATCCTATTTTCTCGCCCTGTCCTGGTGAGGAAAGAGAATAAGCGAGCAGTCAGGTAGGTATTTGACCCTTTGCCAAGGTTAACGCACAACAACGTCACTTCTTGTTTCCTCAAAATAATGTAAATGAGAGTACTGTGTTTGCCATGAACTGATCACTGTGTCGGGAATAAAGCAATTACTCTCCCTTGAGTAATACTAAATATAAACTTTAAAATCCTATTGTAGAGAATCTTTTTGTGTTTTGAGATGTAGATCCTAGTCATGCTCTTTCAATACTCAGGGTTGTTTGATAATGTGCACTTCTTCACATGTGCACGTGGTCTCTAAAACTTTTGGGAACTAAATTGACAGGCTACAAGTCCTTTGTATTTAGGCAAGACAGTAAGGAAAATTGTAGAAACATTCTGGCTTTCGGATCACAAAATATATATATAAAACAGAAAATGTAGTACTGCTGTCTTTACTGATTTTCCCTTGCAATGAATTATCTTCCCATTACCTTGTTTTTCAGTCTTCTATGACAGAAGTATTCATGACAGAAGTTATTAGCGCATGATTTGACAGGAAGAATATGTTGGCTATATAGTTCTTGTTTTACAATGGTGATCCTTTTGGCTTCACAAAGACTCTGTCGTTTTAACCCTTCATCCCCCCCTTATGTGTGCAGGATACAAAGAACAAATAAGCGTGGAATCACTTCTGATCAGAATGACATTGCTTTGATTACTTTCTGCTCTGAAAAGCCAAAGATTTTGAAAGAAGAAATAATTGGAAAGATGTTAAAAAGAAGGGCCTGGCACAAACCAGAAACTCGCCACTAGTGTGATAAATTGGGGTGTGTGGCCATATGACTGTATGCTTCTACCTATGTTTGGTTCTGCAGAATGCAATGACATACATACATCTATAGGCTAGTGGTGTTTTTTGTGAATTGCAAAAATTCAAATCCCTTGCCTACAGTCATACAGAGTAATAGAAACAACTTACTCTGCGAGGCAGATGATATGGTGGTTAAAAGCTTTGTTAAATGTGCATGTGTGGTGTCATTTTTCCTGATATTGTTAAGTGTGTACTTAGAGGCAAGGGTAACCCTTATAGTCTAGTCTCTGTGAAAGGTGGTACAGCCGAGTGCCATTTTGTATGAAGACTTAAGAGTCAGTTGCTCGGTCTTCCTAGTTCTCTTTTTGGAGCTTAAACTTTGTAACTTTGTGAGCTATGCATGATTTCTGTTACCTAATTAAACTGCCATCCATATGTCTGCTGGCTGGTTCAGTAACACAGACCTTGTTTTTTTATAGCTAAGCTTTCCCATTGTATGATGCATGGGAATTATAATTGCCTTTTATTGGTATACATTCCATAGCATTCTTGGAAGTCTATAATGTCAAGATATTAAAAGGCATGAGTTAACTTGCAGTTTCTGTTGAAACATAGTGAATCAAGAATTTGCCATTTTTCCTCTCCAAAAAACCCCACTTGTATCTCGTCAGCCTCTGGTTCAGCTTCAACAATGTTTCTGTTTCTTCAGCTGATAAAAAAACATCAATATTTCTGCCCACTGTCTTCAGTGCTGTATCCTGGAAGACATTGATCTGAGGTGTGTGTGTGGAAGAGCTCTCTGAAAGATTTCAGTAAGAGTTCCAGCTTCCCTTGTGGCTTTTTTTTTTTTTTTCTTCCTTCTTTTGGGACTCCATCCAACACAAAACCTGTTGAATTCAAGAACATGACTATTTCCAGTTTTGTCCCATGGTGTCTTTCACTGTGCAGACGGGTATCAGAAGGCTGTTTAGAAAGAGGCATCTTTTCTTTTTCTGCTTACTGTACCTCCATTAACAGTTAATGTGTGTCGCATCCACTTACCAGCTATTTTTCGCATAAAATCTTCTGTCACAAAGTTTCATATCTATTAATATTACAAAGCCTGTTTATTTCTGGTTTTCTGCTATTTGGCTTAGTCTTTGATAAACATGTTTTAGGATCATTTGATGAAAAATCTTTTCTTACCCTTTAATGACCAGGATTAGCATTCTTTGCTCATAAAACCGGACTTTTTCTTTACGCCTAAACATTTAGGAGATGTTTAAAACATTACAATTTGTATATGAATTTAATACAGGTATGTCTAAATTTACTGTAGAATATGAGGACTGAATTAAAAATTAGATGCTTAAACCTGGCAGCAGCAGCAAAGTTTGCAGTTGTGAGAAGGGTATTACAGATGCCATCTTCCAAATTGAGTTTTGCAGTGGCCCCAGGCAATCAAATTACAGTGTATTTTACTACACAGTCTCTTCTGTCTTGGTAGGAAAATCAAACTGCCTTCTTAGCAAAGATTGCCTTCAAACTACTTAAGTGTAGCTGTAAAACCCAGATCCAGCTTCTTCTATCCACAGACCTCTAGTCTGCTCACTAAACAGGTAAAAATGTATTCAAACAATAGAATGTTTCTTAATACCCATCACCAATCCCACATGTTCTCACAGGGAATTATTTCCATGTCCACGAATAGTTAGAATTCTCTTTCTCATTTTTTTCCATGCCTTGGCCCTGTGAAAAAGATTCACAGCGCAATCCCAGGTAGCTATATATAAAGTCTGTGTGTGTGTGTGTGTGTGCGCGTGTATATATCTATGTATATAAAAAGAAAAACTGTTGTGTATTAATTGTATCTGATCACCTTTGATTAAAGCAGCAAGACTGAAATTTTACGTTGTTCTGCTTTTTCTTCTCTTTTCTCCATTCCTCCGTAGACTCTCTCTACCTAATTAGTCTTAGCAGTCTGGTGCTGGTTGGTCCACTTCTTTTCCTTTGTTGTCCTTCTCTTTGGCAACAAATGCAGTACTTTGAGCTTTTATTCCTGATTTTAGAGAAATTATGTATTTTCCAAGTCTTCTGTATACAAACATAAAGTTTAACTAGGAAACATTTCTTGAAAAATATTGCATTCTTGATTTTTATGAAAAATCAGTATGGGTATGCAATAATTAGGAAATGTGGAATATAGGAATTTTATCTGAATCTTGGTTTTATTCAAGAAATCTGGGGTTTTGAAGATGAGTATATTTTTTGATATGTTGGTCTTCAAATGTTCTGCTTCAGACACCTGAAAGGGATCAATTTCGTTTTGTGCAGTGTTAACATCTTTACTGATTAATATCAGCATCTATTAACTGAAGTAAACTTTTGGATCTCTCTACCAGAATTATTAGAAAAAAACATAAACCAGTAATTTTACTATTTCAAAGAGATCTACTCTTAGTCAGTACAATGCTATACTGACAATATAAACACATAAATTTGGAAATATTGTTTTAAATGTTCATTAAAACTTTCTTCTAGTTTTATCTGTTATATAAGGAAACTGGCAGGAATATACAAAATACGTCCATTTGACATTCATATTTTAAATGTACTAAAATTCGTTCCAGATGTTAGGGTTTGGGGTTTCTTTTTGTTTCGGTTTGGGGTTTTTTTCCATCTCATTCAGGCACATTTCAGAATCAAAAGAAACCGTACATGAAATTACAGAAAAAACCTTGGCAATATTTAAATTCTTAAATGTGTGATATTGTTATTTTCTGATATTTCATGATTATTATTATTTTTTCTCTCTTTTTTGGAAACTCATACAATTTAGAAGTAAAGTGTGACATACAGTGTAAAAGTGTTGAAATATATAGTATTCAAGAAGACTTTATCCTAAATTTCTTTTGTTGTAAATCAGTTATTTTACAGTGGAAATGGCAGCATGCAATGACAATAATCACAAATAATTTTAAGTTTTTGTTTGACTTTATGTATTTACATAATAGCATTTTACCTTATTGATATTAAGTGTGTGTTAGTATTTCTCTGTCCTTAACCAAAGTTATTCAGAAAATCAGAAAGTCTAATTTGATGAGGTCTTTCTTTCTTTGCCATAAGGACATATGACATAGAATGAACAAGAAAGCTGCCCAGTTTAAGTGTTACTTTTGCATATTCTTTCTCCAGATTGCTATATGAAGCTGTACATAATATAAACACATATTCTTGTCTCTAGTTAGTCACATTATAGTTAATGACCATATGGTCATTATGGTATAAGATCTACTGTCTGTTGTATTTATATTCCTCAAGCATATTGTTCCTTCAACTTCACAGTGTGTTAAACTATTTCAAAGGGAAAAAATCCTTTCCCTCTTGTTTCTGGTTGTCCTATCAAGTGTAACCTTGGACCCTTATAGAGCAATTAGACCAGCCTCTATCCCCTCCTTTGTAATGAGGTTTCTTGCATTTCTGAGTCTATAACCCTTTAGTCTTCCCTAATGGGACATCATTATTCTGAAAGAAACAATGTAAATGTAAATGAATATTCTCATTAACGAGTCACAGAGAAACCTTTAGTGGTAGCGCTGTGGTAATTCTGCTTGTTATTTCTCTGGTATTCCATGCAGATTTTTTTTTTTTTATAATTCATTATTAGTATTCAAAATTACTTCTTCTTTAATTCTGCATGTCTTTCATAATCCGGTGTTCCAACTAGTTCAACCATGTCCTTGTTTTATTCTCCAGGAACCACCTGTGAAACGTTCAAGGTCTCTGTCCCCAAAGAGCTCTTTTAGAGAGTCAGAGGAGCTAAGGAAGCTTAAAATAGCTGAAAGAAAGATTGAAAACTTGGAGAAGACACTACAACTAAAGGTGAACATTAAAAAAAAAAACAACAAACCAAAACCAACTCTCTGGCTATAAGCTTGCATAGATAAAGATATACCAAAATAAACAGACATTTTAAAAATGCAAAATGCACATATCGTTATGGACTGTAAGCGTGTTAGCATAAGAGAGCACTCTCCATTAGTTTGCCTTTTTCCTTTACTGCTAGAAATCTTGTGTTGGTAGTCCTGCAGTCCTGTGGAAGCCTAATTTGAGCTGTCGTCAAGAATACGTACTTGTTAAATACATTTTCAACATTTATCTGAGAATATATATTCTGAGAAATTAATGTATGCATAAAGAAATAAAATGAAGCAGAAAGTATAAAGAATTTTTTTAATTTTTTTTTTGTACAGTGAAGCCAGGTTTTTAAAATGCTGAAGTCAGTTAGTTGGAACAGATTTACCCCTTGTACTCTTGGAAGTTATGGCTCAGAAGTTGTTGTTCTAACAAATGCTGTAAAAAAACTCCAACAAACACCACCCGCCCCTCCCCTTCCCAACCCTTGGTAGAAAAGCTTAATTGAGCATGTACTACAATTTCCCATTTTGTCTCCGTTTTATAAATTTTTGTTCATCTAGTTTTTTTACTTCAGAAATAGTACCTTTTGAATGACCTATTTGTTTCAAATTGCAACTCAGAATGCAAAACCCAAACCCTGTTTTCTTAAACATTTACAATTCATCCAGTCTCCCCTCTCCCTGTGTACTTGAGAGAGTTTACTGTAGTGTTTTAACACACATAGAGTATATGACCAGGAAAGATGATTTACACTTCAAATTCAGTCGTACAGGCCGTCTTGCTCCTTGTTCCTGGGAGTCAGAAGATTGAGTTTGTTTTGTTTTTCTCTCTGTTGAGAATCTGAGGCAGCTCATCCTACCAGCTCTACCTGAGAACTGGCCTTTGGTAGGCCTCCTCTTAGTTGGCCTGCCAGATGCTCACTCATGCTACAGATTATTCTGGCACTTTGGACTACAGCTGTTCCGCCCTTGGCAGCAAAGCTCACACATCAGTGTGTATGGTTGCTGTCTTAAATAATAGAGTTCCACATTTCTTAGTGTTTTGTTCTGGAAAGATGAGTGAAGAGAAGCACTTAGATTTTCTAAGCAGATACAAGTCTGATGACCTCGTAACATAATTTTTACCGTTTGCCATACTGCCTTTGTCATTTCTTCCCTTTCATCTTAAAGCATAATTTAGGAATCTGTGCAGCTTTGTTATGTTGCAAGTATGGCATCTCAATTTATCACAGCTGTTAATCCATGAGGCCTTTAAGGGCTAAGTCTTCTATCTCCCTTTGAAACTGAATATATGAACTCCTTGCATTTTCTCTTGGAAACCTACTTGGCTTCTTTTGCAGAATGTTTTAACTGATTGAAAAGAAGCTGTAGAGGCCCAGGTATTAAACACTGTTGTGGCACTATGTTCAGAATTCAATGAGGCTGTTGCCAGCATGACAGTGCACTCGGCTGTCGTAACATTAACATCAGAATAATTCCATTGGTATTGTATGATTTCTTGATATTAACCTTCTCTCAGGCATTACTTCCAACAAAGAATAACGCATGAGATTAACATTTGCGAAACTGGCGCTTGCATTATTACCTGCTCAAGCAAAGTGTTGACTGTATGATTACTTGAAATATACTTGCTCAGAAAAAAAAGCTTGCTCTATCAATAAACATACTGATGATGCATATCCTGAAGATGAAATTGTGACTTTATCCATCAGTCCTTCTGAAAAATTTGTAACAATAAAAAAAAAAAGATGAACAGCTTTATTTACAGGGTTTTCAGAAACAGAAATATTTTATGGCCGTCAGTATTACAAAGGAACAGAAAAGGGCAAGGTCCCATTCATAGGATTTTTCCAGTTCTCCTCAGCTGACTCATTTCTGGCCAAGGAATTGGCTCTTACTGTCTTTATTGCTAATACAAATACGGTAATCATGTAAGTTCAGCATGTCCTTAGTTTTGGTACAGAATTGGCTTCATTTCTGCACTCCAGGACATACTAAAAAGCAATAGATTTACTTATTACTTTACAGTAATACCTGATTGCACCCTTGTTTAGGGAAGAGAGTGTCAGAGTAAATAAGAGTATTTCATGGATTCTGAATAACAAATTGTCAAGCTGTTACTTAGAATGGTCCAAAGCATAAGTACATCAGTCTACTGTTGGTCTTTAAGAAGTGGGTAGGAGTTTGGGTGCTGAGAGTTAGATATTGTTGTGAACCAAGAATATGTTCTCTTCTCCCATATTATGTTTCTAGAACTGTGATCTTTGCCGTAGCCTAAGAAGAGTAGTCAAAGAATTGAATCCGTATGGTTTTTAAATTCCCTTTTAGTTCAGTTTTTACTGTAACAGAAGTTATTACAGGTCAATTTCAACAAAATTTTGAAGTAGTGATTAGAATCTTCTGGCTTGTCTGAGCTGTCTGCAACTAACAAAATGACTTTTTTTCACAGGCAGTTGGGTTCTTCTTCTTGCAGATTGGACTTTGTCTTTTTGTCTTTTATTATGTCATGGGAAGTACTATAGAATGACAGTGGAGAGCTGGAGAATAACCTGGAGATCCAGCACTGCTAGAGATGGCTGTTTTGTCCCATTTCCGTCAATATATAGAAAACTGTATACAAGACAGTTTAATTATTAAAAAATACAATGTAATTCAATCAGAGAGAGATAGAGCTAACATTGTGGAAATTACAGTGTAAATTTAAAATTCTGAAGTGCTTAAGAATTCAATAAAAGAGAATGATTAGGACGGTTAATTGTTAATTTCTATTTCTGGAAGGGACGAGCAACTGATAGGGGAAGGGAATAACTGTAATGGAATGGATAATGGAACAGGTAAGCAATAATGAAAAACCTAGATTCATAAATAGAAGAGGCCAAATTCTACACTTGGTTGCATCTCTGAGGGGGCACTGACACTAATAAACTTCTGAAGTTTTATGTGGAAGACATTATTTTCCAGTACCTTGCCAGGCTTGATCAGATTTCACTAGCAATATCAAACAATTTCAGAACAATGATTTCATGAACTTCTCTTGAAAACACAGCATCTGTAATTGGATTCTTGTAAAAATTTCCTGTTGTAATGTCAAGCAAACCTTGGTAATAGTCTCTGTGTCCTTCGTCATAAATTTATCCTGCTATTTGTGCAATTGTTTTTAATATCATTGTAGTATTTATACGAGCCACTTAAAACCAGTCAAAAGTACTTTTTAAGCAATTTAAATTTATAAATGTTTCTGCTTTAGAGGTTGTTTCAGAACAAAAAATCTACCACCACTTTGGGAAAATATTTAATGGTAAGGTCACTTTGGTACCTGCTTCTGTACCTAAATCTGCTTTTTGTTTTACTTGAGTCACTTCCAGGAGCTTCTGGAATTTTATATATAGTAGCATCTGAAATTTTAGCTGGTATTTTTCAGCTTTGTTTATGCTTCATGAAAGCTGGGCTATATTTTAGAGGCCAAGCTTAGTCTAGGTACTTTGTAGTTAGCACTACTGTAGAAACCTTTGCCATGTTTTTGTAGTGGGATTTAATTTTTGTTGCTTGCAGCTCTGACTATTGATGGATCTTATTTATTGACTAATGCTGAAAAGCCCTCCTTGCATATAAGAAGTAAATACATGCAAATAAATTATTGTGATTTACCTAGAGATTAAAGAACATGTTCTGTAGTTGCTCTATAAGCAGAGCTCCCATTGAACTAGAAATGAAGCACTGAGTGTAAATTTTACTACAGCATAATGTCTGCTGAATTCTTTACTGCTGTACGCCAGAATTTGACTTGCTTTATACTGTGGAATGTCCTCTTCTTAATGTTCACTTTTTTCAGAGCACAGTATTGTCACTTAGGAAAATCTCTTTTGTTATTCTGTAATTTAAATCAGGGTATATCTTAATTTTCATTCTGTAAAAAGAGAGTACATTTTTTCCATATGGTTTTGATTGTATAAAAGCTATTGCAAAATTTGTTTTTATATCTGGTTTGTTACATAACTAAAGGACAAAGTCTGGGTGTTGCAGGTTTATATATATTTACAGAAATAAATTAATATATGAGGAAATCTTGAAGCCATTTAAATTTAGGGTTTTTTTGATGTGGACTTCAGTGTGGCCAGTGTTTCCCTCAAAAATACATAGATTAATTTTCCATGGGAAAAAAAAAAAAAAGAAAAAAGTATTTTGGAGGAAAAGACACTGCCAACAGTCCTTTTTCAGTCTATGTATTTTTTGATGTATTAGGCCAGTGCATTCACAAGATGAAAACTGACATTTTGATAGTAAATTTTTTAAAACTTCTCAGCAACATGAAAAAAATATTTAAGTAAATTTTGCCAAATGAGCAAAATTTGCCAAAGTAGCAAGAAGAAAAAATTGACCTGGGGGATTATGATTCCTGATCTTTCTCTTTAGATTTCTGAGGCTTTTGATAGTTAAACAGAACTTTTGTTTCATATGATCCATGTGATCTCTTGCATATTGCCCAACTCTAATTTTGTTTTTCTGGTGCTATACAGACTCAAGAAACTGATGAGCTAAGAGCAGCCCATGAACAACGCGAAGAGAGGCTGCAGATGTTACAGACCAACTACAGAGCACTAAAAGAGCAATTAAAGCAGTGGGAAGAGGGTGATAGCAGGTAAGTTACATAGCTCATTAAAATCATTTCCCTTACACAAGAAATCTGAGCAGAAGTATTATATAGGTATTCAAAAGAGAATTTGATTTGAAGGAAGAAGCTACTATGTGTTGATCAAGACTTTATCCTTTATTAAAGCAGAATATATGGCATACCCCTATATGAGAGAAATTACAGTTGAAACCAAGAGTAAAATGTATTGAGCTGACACCTTGACTTATTTTATTTAGGATCTCACTGTAAGCCTGAGTACTGGACAAAGATCTGCTAGGGCTGCTTATTTATGCTTGTTTAATTCCCCAGTCGATTAATTTGTTGACTGTGTATGTTTTTAATTTTCTGTAATAGAACAATTGCTCCTTATGTTTCAAATAGTTTTAAAAAATAATTCTATTCATTAAAAATATAGAAGTAACGGCTTCTCTAACATTTAGTGATCCAAACATTAACTGAAGCTAATCCTAAAATCCCCTTCTTAATAGGGAAAAAAAGAGTATGTGCATGAAAAGCAGGGTGTTTTCGTCTGTTAAATGACTACAAAATCAATTATTTCTGACCATTCTACAAAAATATTGCAGTAACATATCGTTATTAATGGAAAGAAGAGTCTACCACATCAAAATTTAAATAGTAAATATTCTCTATATCATCCTCCCTTAAATTCTATACAGAACAGTGAAAATTTTATGCAGAGATTCTTTTTTTTAAGTCCTTAGCAGAGAGAATTTTTGGTAAACAGACACATTTGTAGGTATGAAGACATTTCTTATCATTGCAGTTATTAGACACGGCCGAGGTACAGTTTTTCAGGCCCTGTTTCAAGAAAGTAATTTGAGCAGGTCCTTACATCCTAGCGGCTTTAGTAGGACTTCAGCATGCACCTACAGTTTACTAAAAACATATGTGTTTTACTAAAAATAATTCATTTTGTAATTAGAGTAATATTGACTAATCTTGACACAAACTTTGTAATTCTCTCTAACTGAAAAGAGAGTCACAGAAATTGCTGCAAAACTGGTAGCTGTTCAGAGAGTCTAGGGTAACATAAAATGTCCTATTGTGAATGATAAACTGTCCCTCATATATAAGTAATGCTTTGGCCTATCTAAGTAGATTTGCATTGCTTTGTAATACTATGGTATTTACTTAAGAATAGTTTGTCTTTTAAAAAGAAAAAAAAAGTGTGGATGAAAATAATGGTAGGGTACAAATCTGCTACAGGCACTGGTAGCACAGGAAGATTTTTTGAAGTATCAAAGCATAAATAACAAATAGATTTGTTTAAATAAGAATGAAAAGGTTTTGTTTCTTTGTGAAAAACATGGATGATTTTATCTTCTAGGTCACTGTTTTAAATTCAGTGCAAGCTGGAAATTGCTGAAACCTACTGAATGATAGTTACTTTATGCAATGAAATTATTTAATTCTGTGTCTAAAGCTAAGTAGGCATTCAAGGTCCACCAAGAGGACAAGGCTCAAAAGATACAAAAATTCATCCTAGATAAAGACAGTGAAATCAAACTTGATACACAGTGAAGCACTGAGTGTTCCGGTTCCAATAGTTCAAAAAAAGGAAGAAAAGGAAAGGGAAAGAGAGACAAAAGCAAATTCTGTTACTGTTTAAAATAAATGTGACCAGCTTCTGTCCTGACAGGAATGTATTTAGCAAAAGTAGATAGTGGGGAAGGTGTAATACTAAATCTTTATTAGTTCATCTGATTTTTTCATCTATAATTAAGATGAGCTGAAAATTACAGGGTTTTGATAATTTTTGTCATCAGAACAGAACTGTATGAACCCACCATACTAAAAGAGGTTTGTTTTTCTTTTTTAATATGCTTAAACAAAGGACAGCCAAGACACAAATAAAAACAGTCTGTAAATGGTTATGCCTTACACTGTTACTTTGGTATCTCAAAAAGCTTTGTATCTCTGGTGTAATGTAAATAGTGCATTAAGAGCTCACTATCAGGTACTTATGTGGCACTTCTGATCCTCTGTAAGTGATGGAGGACTCCATTCTTTCTGATTCTTCATAGATTAGAATCTGTTATTGAGATGGCAGCTGATGGCACCTAATCCACCTGTCAGTGTACATACAACTTCCACTGACGTACGTGACTGCAAAGATGATAGGAGCCTTAAGAGGTTACCACATTCTCAGAGAGTTTATTTCTATGTCCAGTAGGAATTTAGATTGCAGAGAGTTTTAAATTCATTTTATAAAGGATCTTTTAATACAGTTTTTATCTTTTGCATTATTAGAGTATATAAAAATACTGTAATGACAGAAAAATTGTGAAATATTTTTGTTTTCTTTTTCTGTGCTTCTAAATTCAATATGCTTTTTCCTGATGCATCATCTTATCCATAGCGAGCTTATTCTCTTATTAGACTGTAGCTCAACAGTGTGATTTAGAGTGGACATTAGTGTAACTTCCAGATTGGTTTGCAGGGGCATTAGGGGACCTGGTGGGTCTCCCATTTTTTTGCAAGGGATTGTGTGACTGTTTCACCCTCTGCTTTCTCATACCAGTATTGTAAGGAATGTTGACAGAATGAATGTGGGTGACACTGCTCTGCCACATGTCAGTTGAGAGCCTTGTTGCCATACTAGCACGATGCCTGTCTGCAACTAGGTAATTGAACTTTTCTATTACACAGCATTTAAGGTTTCATGCCTCACAGAATGCATATGTCATACAAGATTTGTATTCAGTAGATGCCGCAGTTTAAAATTTGTATTTTCTGAAAGCAAGGATACTTTTATTCATGTGGTCCTAAAACATGTAGAAATTTGAAAACAAGCTCTTTTTACTCATAAACAGGATTGAAAGCAGTAAAAGCAGATACCGGCATGCAGATACCCATCAGCTTTGTCAAGAGGATTCTGATGCTGTGTGGAATGAACTGGCTTTTTTCAAAAGGGAACACAAAAAGCTGTTGATTGAAAAGTGAGTTCGTTTCTTAAATGGTGTTTACATAAAGAAACATTCTGCTCTTTTTTTCTGAAGGTAGTGCTTTGCAGGCCACATAAGAGGAATTCCTTGCAAAATTCCAAGATAAAACCTTCTTCTGCCAAAAGCAGAAAAGGAAAACATCAGCTCTTTTTTTTTTTTTCTTTTTTTTTATCCCCTCCTCTTAAATCAGTGACAAGTTACAAGTTTGCTAGCACTAACAGAAACTGTATTCCATGATCTAGGGATTGTGTTAATTAATGTGGCTCTCATCTGTTGGAGGTGTCGCTCTTCATTAGCCTGTATTTTACACACTGCCGTGCTTCATTTTTGGAATGAGGTGGTGAGGGGATAACCTAGCCAGCCATCCTTGTTTGATCTCTGTGATACATACGCAATGCAGAATGCCTCAGCTCTCTTGGTTCCCTGCCCTGTCCTGCTAATCCCAGCTGAGCTCATTATGGTGTAGCCTTGCTGCTACTCCTGGAGCCAGAGCTGTCCAAGCTAATTACTGGTAGCAGCAGAGCTGCCTGTTAAGGGTCTGGTGTGGATCTGCTAACATGGTCCTTGGTAGTGACCTGCAAAAAGCACGAGGGAGTTGCTCTCTTTCTTGCTGTGCATAGCCTGTCCTTTGGGTTTAGTGCTGATCCCTTCACACAGCTCTTTTAGCTGTAGTAAGTGTAAAACTTGGTGAAGGAAACTCTTACTTTAGAAAACTTTGATCTCATAATTCATAGGCTATTATACTCAGCCAGGCAAAGTAAGAAAATGTCCTTTTATACTAGACGAAAGGAAGTTAGTATGATATAATTAGCCCTTTGCTGCTATTTAACACTTTCTGTAAGTTGATTTTTTTTTTATTGAAGAATCAAGACATCATAGAAACTTTTATTCAGACTTTGTTTTTGTCAGCATTAAAGAAAATGTGTTTTCCCAATGGATCACAGTGTAAACCGATTTTGTGGAGATACCATGAAGGCTGCTATCACAGAATTTCAACAGCAAATTGCTTTGTAGTATATAAGTCCTTGGGTTGTCCATAAGCTGCTTTAGCGTATTACATACAATACTGCCAGTAGCTGTGTTGCATGGGGTATTCCTATATCCGCCAGTTACAATTGTGTGCCTGTTCTTGTCACTTCATTGTCACACCTTTGTTTGCTGTTTTGAAACTATCACAACAAATTATCACATGTACTTCTTTTGTTTATTTTTATTTTTATGTAGGGAAGAGCACTTTCTTGCATACACGTAATTGCAGTTATAATTCTCCTTCCATCACTAATCAACACATGCACCATAGGCAACACTAACTCAGGAACAGTAACATAAGCCTCTCCTTTTCACACAAAGCCATGAAAGAGAGATTGCTTATGTATTGTGCACACCCTGAAGGTTGGTACAGTTGGACTGTTTTTCTAAAGCTCCTGTGCCAGTCACATTTATGGGAGCACTCTTATGCCTAATACATTGCAGATCAATGGCCTTGACTAGATTGTGGTCAAGTGGCATGAGCAAACAGTTGAGCTCTTAGAAATACAGATTTTTTAAGTCAGAATGAGTTCTTAAATTCTGCATAGTACTTGGTAAGAAGCCAGTGCACCATTGTGATCATTAAGGTGAACTCCTTGTCTGGGTTTAGGTGCTTTTTACTCCTTATGGGCAATGTAGCTTATTGGTAGTTGAAGTAAGGAAGGAATGAATACATAAATCCTGTGGTTTTTATATCTGCCTTCAACGTCTGTCTTTAAATAATGACTGTCTTTAACTGGTTGAAGCAAGTCGGCATTTCAAGATCTGAGCCCATTTTCTTAAGAAAGTCAATACTAAATTTGGTGTACTTTTTAGACCTGTGGATAGGTCTGCTTTATATTGCATGTATTCTTTCCTAAGCTGTGTGGGTAAAGGACGTGATCTACAGAGTTGTACCAATTAATTATGTGTGATTTTACAAGCAGTGTAAGTAAATCAGGTTAGCCCGTAGTTTTTGTGGATGCACTTAATTTGATAGATCCTACTGATTGTTAGCTTAAGTTGATATAGAACACGTGTAGGCCAAATCCAACTCAGCATTGCTTAAGGAAGAGTGTCAGTGTATGGATTTTATTTTGGTTTAAGTCTGTTTTAACTTCTGTCTCTGATTAGGTGAGAGAATTAATGTTAGGAAAACACGATTATTTGTTCTTGGTTGGTTGTTTTACCTGTAAGGAAGATTTTCCTATGCAAAATGTCTTTAACTTGCATGTACATTGCTCTGAAAATAGATGGATAATAAATAAAGTATAGGGTAAAACCAAGGAAAGTCTATTGATGCATGTCCCAGGCTCCAAAATGCAGTCATTACCAGTATTGGCACACTGTAAATAATCTGCTTGAAAGTTAAGAAATCTGTTTTTAAGTCCAGAAAAAACTGGAGCTGCTTGGGCAGTCACTTATTCTGGTGGTGCCCAATTCCAAATCCTGTTGAAGTTGGTGGAAAGTCCTTGTGTCAGCCACTACTTTCTGTCAGGTCCTTTCTTTTGTAGTTTTCTTCTCATCACAGGCAGGGATTGCTTGGACTTTCATGTAAGCTATTAAACACTGTGCACCTTTCAACCTGGACACTAATACACAAACAAATACAGGGTTTAGGATGTAATTTTAAGCATGTCTTTTTTAAAATACAAAGTTTTCTGTTTTCCTGAAGTTCAGAATGCCTAATGTCAGAGTTATTTTTCTGAGAATGCTGATGCAGAATGTGTGGCATTGTTACTATTATTTTTTAACTTTTTGATTAGTAAAGAATAGTATGTGCATGTTGTATTACTTTGCAATTAATAATGAAATATGTTTCAGAGCCGTGGGCCATATCTACAATTAATGATGTATAAATTTGAGCCATTTGTGCATATAAAAGACAGTATCTCTATATTGCTACAATCCCATACTAGATTAGTAAAATATAATAAAATTTAATAATCAGTAATCTGTGATTACTCAGTGTGTGCTTAATGCTTTATGCATCTATTTCTCTTGATTTTCCCAACATTCCCCTGGAAGGAAGAGGGGTTTTTTGCTATTAATATAATTTATATTTGTACTAAGTGCATTAGAGAATAATTATTCTCTGACTTTATAGAAACCATTTTTGGTAATAGTTTTACCTGACTTCTTTATTAAGCCTCCTCCCCTACTATTTACTTCTTCACAAAAAATATCAGATTATATTCTACCATGTATATGATGTGGATTGAAAGCTGCATTTTTAATTTGAGTTATAAAATCTCATCTTTTAAATTCTTTATTATTAAAACAAAAAGGTCCAAAATTTAAGTTCACTTTGAGATATGAACCAGTAGCTAAGAAAACAGTTGCAACTCATTGTCTTAAGAAATCCTATGGCAGCTACCAACTAAACTCATGCCAAAATTGAAGAGTTACAAACAGGAGCACAAAGCGGTAGTTGAAATAAATTCCCTAAGTATTCTTTGAAGTGTTTATTAATGCTAATGGCCAAATGAAAACAATTCCACACCTTTGCTAGGATGTCCCATTTTGGTGTTCTCAATCTGGGTCATTTTCCCTATGAAGTATGCAATACCTGTGTTATGCTGCAGTGATTTCCTGTTAAGTACCATGTTATTGGAGGCTACAGAAGCAAGTATTGTATTGATGTTCATGTTCTATCTTAAGAAAAATATGCTATTTGTTCACTTTTTCTCCCCCTTAAGCAGACCGAAAAACATAGTAGAATTCAAACAGTAGTTAACACTTAGCTGAGGAAGAGAGTGACCCATGCTTGTATAAATACAATATTTTTATTTAAGCTGCATGAAACTGCTGAAAACTTGCAAGAGAAAGATCTAGTAACATAAAAGAATTGAAATGTCTTTTATTCAGCTGTGTGACCCTGGTGCTTTGAGATTCAGCATCTAGCAGCTGCATAGAACTGGAATATCTTCAATGAAAATAGGCATATCATTTTACAGATAGATATAGATACAAATTTTTATAGATACATATATAAACATACACACAGATATTTATAAATCTAGTATAGTTCTCAGTTTTAGATGGGTTATTTTTAATCTTGGCTATTAAGTGCTAAATGTTGTAACTTTCTGTAGAATTGTATTGACATATATGTCCTTTGACATTGTCTTCCCAAATTAGCTAGATTCATCTTTTTATCTATATTATTTGGATTTTGCTGAAATTCAGGATAAGTTAGTATGTAGCATGTCCAATTGAACTGCTACTTGATTGCAAGCTAGCTAATTGAAACTACTTTGGCATTTTGTATTAAATTCTTGTCTGCTGAAATATAGGAGCACCCTGTCCCTTTGGCCTTTATGTACAGACTTGGAAAGGTATATTTGACTGTGTATAAACTATTGTGGAAGCTTTACAATTTTACATCTTTTGTTCTGGATTACTTTGTAGGAGATCTTGTAACTGAAAAAAGCAAGACTGAATTATTAGACCTAGTACATTCTTCAGCATAAGACATTATAACATAAGTCATTATCTTCACAGCTAACTGGAAATTGATTGTCTGTATGGTGTGGTCATATGCAGCTAGTGATAAGGAGGAAATGTGTATAAAGTGAAAGAGATAGCCATATCATTCAAAGAACCGTTGGTAGTCATTCTTTCCTCTGAGTGCCTGAGTAGTTGTGCATGTCCTCCCATGTAGGAAGTGTGCTCTGGATCTTTGAAGCATGTGGAGTTACTGTAAGCTTGGTAGCATCCTTACTCGGCTATAGCAGCTACTTAATAAAGGGGTTTTATTAGCTTTGCTTTTTTAGGAAAACAAGACCTCATGATTTCTTCTTTCCTTATTGTTTGTAGAGTCAAAGCAACTGTTCTATACCCTGTCCACTGGTATCTCACCAGCCAGTTCACAGGAGCCTGACTGGGGACCAGCAGCAGCATGTGATGCCTCTTGCCATTTCTAGCTATCAGAATGGGTATGGTGGAGGAAAGCTAAATTTACCGTTCTGGAATGGTGGCAGTAA